ATGCATTCTGGGAGACAAACTCGTCGAGTTCATCAAGGAACTCGTCGAGTTCATGCTTTTACACATGAACTCGTCGAGTTTTTTGGCCAGAACTCGTCGAGTTTTCAGTCTGGGCAGTTTCTTGGCTTCGAAAAATGAGTTTCATCAAGTATAATTGAAAACAAGCCTAGGCTCTGATACCACTGTTGGGTTTTGAGCATTCAAGCACTCCTATGGTGTACATGCAACCCTAAATACCTTGGATCTATGTTTTCTCTATTATACATGCAAACTTGAAGTTTCCAAGGTATTATCCTAACTAGCATACAATCATAAGTACTAGTATAACAAAACTAGATAGAATACATACCTTTTTGATGTAGCTTGATTCCATAGAGCTCAAGAGCCTAGTGCCCCAAGTGTGACACCTCAAATGGTTCACACAACATCACCAACATTTGGAATAACCATGAGAAGATATACATGGACTCTAGAAATCGGCTTGCCCTCTTGTGTATGCACTAGTGCAAATTTCACCAACCAATGGGGTCTTTATATAGTGTGGCTATTAGGGTTACACCATGTAACTCATGACTTTACCATTCCTTATGCTCCATGGGTTTTAACCTCCATGGAGTATCCATGGGTCACCACATGGGTTAAACCCAACATAAGGAATCATGGATCATAAGCCCACATATATAAGAATGAATGATTTACATAATCAATCCCCATATATTTAATTAGTCTCTTTTGATCACTAAATTAATTCCAAATTAATTCTATTTAATACTAATTAAATAATATGATTTCATATTAATATATTAGAACTTATAATATATTAATATGTCACAAATATCCTCTTCTCACAAAAGGTCTACCCAAATGTTCTGATGCCATGCAACCCAAATGGACCATGTCGGGGCGGGTCAAGTATATACCAATTATAGTTATGGACTTAGACACTAATCCAACAATAGCATCTAATCCTCCTAGGCTATCTGGAATCACATAAATCAGGTAATTCTATCTTGTGATTCCTGAAGGTATCCTTAGCCCTAATCTAGCATGAAATTCACATATCAAGCATACTGATCATAATAGAAAGGTATGGGTAATTTGGGAACCACTTACTTGTGACAACCCGAATTTTTTTGCCTTGTAAGTCCAGCCATTCAATTCAACCGAGAGTCAGACTCGTCTCTGCTATCAATTAGCATGGTTAAGGATCATTTTAAGGGTTCTAAGCTTAGTACAATCAAGCTTTGGGTTTAGGGAAGTGTCAGCTAAAGTTCTTCGCGTTGCAATCGAGCCGAGCACTCCATCAAAGGGAGAGTACGGCTGTACACATGGGTGTACGGCCGTACACCCATGTTGGCCATACACCCACCACCATATGTAGAGTATCCCTTCATTTCTAGTCATTTCTTACAATTCCAAGGCTAGAAAATCGATTCTCTCTCAACTATCATCGAGTTCTTCATCCTAATCCTCCAAAATCGTAAGTGATTCTTCTACCCTTCTTGATATCTTCCTTAGTGTTGTAAACATCTCTTGATTCATCCATGAAAACATCTTTTTATGTTAGATCTTCAAACATTCATCCATTTCACTAAGAACACCAAGAACACACACTTGTTCTTGGTGGCCGTGAACCCCCTTCAAGCCTCAAAACGTAAGTATCCTTTCCTTATGCTTAGTATACGTTAGGAACTCTTGTTAAACACCCAAGAATCGACCATTTTTACAAGAACAAAAGGAGTGTACGGCCGTACACCCTTGCATGGCCGTACACACCTCAAAACACTCCAAAAGGGCCTCCAAAATGAGAACTTAGTTCATATTCTTGTTGAGCAATAGTCCTACTAGCTTCCCCATGGTTCAAACACCCTCTTTTGCAAGATTTACCATGAGTGTACGACCGTAAACTCCATGGCCGTACCCCCCTGGCAGTACACTCCATGGTATGGTCGTATACACCCTTTAATGAATCACATGTGATTCTACCACTTAGTCCAAGTGTTTCCTAGTCCCTAAGGGTGTTTCATTGCATGTTAGTTGCTTTTAAACATTAAATTCATGCCAATATATGCCATTATATGTCATTTAGGACTCGTTTGTGTCTCGGGACTTCATTCGTGGAACTTCTCATCCTTACACGAATCTGCAATTGAATCACCCACATAAGGTGAGTTCATACCCCTATAATCAATCTTTTAACTGTTTTAAATGCTTTTAAGGGGGGGGGGGAATACAAGTTGAACACAATGATAATTGTGTAAATGTTTGTTATAAACATCTTTTAAAGGATTGCTTATGTGTTCATGAGTGATCAAAACATTTCAAAAACTCTTTTAAAGTTATGTTACTTTATAGTTTATAAAACTCCGTTTTTAAAGTACAAGCATAACTTAGTAGATAAATGAGTCTTTTATTCAAGTCAGTAATAGTTCAAGTAAACATACTAGTAAACTATAATAGGTATAGTTTAAGGGTTCAGTTTACACTAGAACAGAGAGAACATACTAGACACTAGAACAGAGAGAATATACTATAAAGAGAAACAGGGAGGAAGATACAATACACTCGAACATAGAGAACATACTATAAAGAGAAACAGGGAGGAAGATACAATACACTATAACAGAGAGAACATACTATACACTATAACAGAAGAACAAATCATGATTAACAAAATTATACCAATGATCACTAACTCATTGTTCTAAACAAAAGGTGATAATAAAAGTGGTATACAAGATCAAGATAACTTTAATGTGAGACTATTTCACGTCTTAGCAATTCGTTTGTTGAAGTCGCGTTTTGTAACCAGAGTCTCTTGCAGGGAGAGCGTATAGTATGGTTACAACCACATCACATTATGACCTTAATAAAACAAACTGGTTTTTAAGGTAGTTAGTACTTCGGTATGTCAATTTAAAAGACAACTGTATACTTACATTTTCCCATTACTTTCATATTGTGATATTCTCACTTGAAAGGAAATGCAAACTATTTTCAAGTAAATATAGTTATAAACTAGGGAAAACTTACATCATTACAAGCGACAAACAGAACAGTCGAGTCTAGTACATTTAGTAGAAAGGGGCCTATAATGATAACTTTATGATTCCTTAGTTTATACATCAGGGATATCTATTAATCGGATCCGACAAGTAGTAGGATGTGTGCTTTCCGCTTCATTTCCGGTTCCTTGTTTGGTTGTGGGCTTAGAGCAGATTCACCCAGCCTACAATCTATCCGATCTTTTATATATATATATATATATATATATTCCGTATACACTAAGTAATCATAAGGAGTACCAGGTATGGGTCAGGTCATAGTACACTAATTCAATACACCGTTTTCTAGTACAAAACATACTTTTCAAATAGAACATTTGGTAGACAAAACTAGAAACTTACCAGTAAAGGGTTTAATCCATTTTATTAAACCAATATAACTTAAAGGACTTTAGATGGTTAATTCTATAATACCTTAGTTTATATATCAGGGTTATATTTAATTAATACCCGACAGGTAGTTGGATGTGTCCTTTCCGCCTGATTTCCTGTTCCTTGTTTGGTTGTGGGCTTAGGGCAGATTCACACAATTAACTATCTGTTCGATATTAGATTATATATAGCTAGTATAAACTTAGTGATTATAGAAGGAACTATTGTGGTTACCATTTTTACTAAAAGAAATAAGGGTTTTCTTAAAGAATCTTTTCATCAATTATAAAGGAACTATTACAGTTAACTCCGTGAGTACCAAGTGAATACGCCAGGGTTATATACAACGATGATCTAACAAACAATGGGATGTGTGCCTTCTGCCTCATTTCATGTTCCTTGTTTGGTTGTGGGCTTAGGGCAGATACACACAATCGATTGTTTGTTTACTCTGGGTTTTATATAACTTGTATCCGTTTAGTACTCATAGAAAGGATTGTAGAGTCATTTTTACTTATCTTTCATCAAAGCAGGAAATATAGGATTTTCTGGAGGAACATGCGAACTTTTCTAAAAGAACTTTCAACTTACTTACATCACTAAAATCTTTTTTTTTTTGAAAGAGCCAAAGCTCAGCAAACTTTGTTAAAAAGAATAAAAGAATACAAGTCCAACAAAAGAACAAATCAACCTACAAATCCCAAATATAACCAACCTATCCATAACCAACTTCCTAACCATTTTTTAATTTCTAAACCTATCCACCCATTACCCCAACCACCCTTATTATCCTTAAAGCTAGCCCAAAGACTTATTGAAAGTGGGAAAAAAGGTAACTTCACCCCCTTGCACCACCAAACCCACAAAATATCCTTAAGACCAAAGCAAGGGGAAAGGCCCTTAAAAAAAACCCACAGTCCATAGGACTAGCCTTAAGATATAACCCAACAAACCCCCAACACTAGATAAACAAATAACAAAGGGGAAATAAAAGAAATAACAACTAAAACACACATTATCCCTACTATATAAAAACCCGATCAAACTCTCAATCCAGAGCCTTCTGCCACTTCTCCTCCCATTGATCCTCTTTTTTCTTTTACTTCTCTTATCCTCTTCAAACAGGAAGAGCTTCCTCATGGCCTTCAACAAAAGAGAGTCCATCTGAATGCTAATATACACCAACTCCATCCTTTGCAAAAACTTCCTGCACATCAAAAACAAGCCAATCCACAAAAAACCACCACCAACCCTCCATAAATTCAGAACAAGTTTCATACTAGACATGGCATCAATCACATGTCTAGGATTCTCCATTTGAATAATCTCAATTAAGATCATATCCAAACAGAAAATCCCACATGTACACGTCACATGATTTGAAAGCAAGCTCTCAAACCAGTAACACAATCCGTCAATTCCTTTGTATATAAACTTATTCCAAAAATATCCCCACCAATTCACAGAATGAAAATCAACAAAATTAAGCATCATCCTCATCTAATCCCAAACCCGAGAATCGCCAACCATCAATCTAAGAAACCAAAATATGACTTCCATATCTTATATTCTGTCCATTCCAGAAATACCCAAAGTCTTAAAGACTCTATCATTGACCATAATAGCCTCTTTCCTCAACCCCAACAGCTTCAATTGTATTTTACTTTCAATACAAGAAATCACCACCTTATGCGAATTCCTCCTACTACTAAAGAGTCTAGAATTTCTCTCCTTCCAAATATGAGAAACACAACTGGAAAACACACATTTATTAACCAAATTCTCAACCGAATTCCCTTTGAAAGAAATGCTCAGTTTCAAAATTAAATCATTCCAATCATCAAAAAAGATATTAAGACCGATCTTATTACAGAAATAACTCCAAATAAGATGAGAAAATTCACATTTGAAGAAGAGGTGATCATGGGAATCAGAAGAAATAGCACAGAAAGGACAAAGTAAATTACCAGAAATCTCCCAACCTTTGACTCGATCCTGGGTCTTCAATCTATTCAAAATAGCCAACCATAATATAAACGAATTTCGAGGAATGCAGTTACCATACCACACAATATCATACCAAGGAACTTTGTCACCAAAATTATTTATATCTCTCCACACCTGTTTGCATGAAAATTGTTTACACACCCCATTCTTATCTCTCCAACCAGTAACATCCCTCTGATTAGCATCAATACAAAACATGGGACCATCCTTCAATCCAGGGAATTCAATCACCCACTCAACCGGCCATAAATAGAAATCATTAACCATAACATCACTAACCTTGGATATATCACTAAACCCGTTTCTAATCCAATCCCTTCTAGATATAATAGTGCTTAAAATACCAATTGGGTGCCACCAGTCATGCCAAAGAGAAGTATTCATCCCATTTCCCACACACGAAACTACATGAGGCCTAACAATTTTCCTCACCTCAAGGAACCTCTTCCAAGTCCAGCTCATACTCTTCTTCTGTAAAATATCCCAAAAGTTCCTATCACCAATGTAATTCTTTTTCACCCATTGGACCCAAAGAGAGTTTTTATTATTAATCATATTCCACACATGTTTAGCTAACAAGGCATCATTCCATTTCCTTAAATTCTTCACCCCTAACCCACCATAATCTTTAGGCCTACAAATATCAATCCACTTGACTTTAGCTTTCCCTTTGACTATCTCACCATTCGCCCACAGGTAACTTCTACAAATCTTCTCAACCTCTCTAATTGTGGCAATAGGAATTTTAAAGATCGAGGCCCAAGACACATGAATAGTAGTCAAAACATAATTAATGAGTTGCAACCTCCCAGCAAACGATAAGGCCTTACTTTTCCAATTAAGAATTCTCATCTTAATCTTCCCAACAAGCTGTTTACAATCTCTGCAAAATAACTTAGTAACACACATAGGAATTCCAAGATACTTAAAAGGAAATTTCCCAATATCAAAAGGAAGAATGCCCAATATAATCCTTCTCATATTGGGTTTAACACAGCTAAAGAAAATCTGACTTTTTTCCATGCTCGCCTTCAACCCTGAAACTTTTTTGAAATCATCAAGAGCATCCCTAATGACTCTAGCTGAATTCCCATTCCCATAAGAAAAGACTAACAAATCATCAGCAAAGCATAAGTGTGTGATTTTTTGGGACAAACACTTACTATGAAACTTAAAATTCTGGTAATCTTCAATTTTCTTCAAAAGAATGAGATTAAAAACCTCCATAACTATAGTAAACAGGTAAGGAGATAGAGGATCACCCTGCCTAAGACCCCTTTTACCTTCAAAAAACCCGTGATCTTCACCATTAAAATTCAACATGAACCACGGAGATGACACACAAGCCATAATCCACTGAGTCATTATCGGATGAAACCCAAAACCCAAGAGGATCCTTTTAAGAAATTTCCAATCCACCGTGTCATAAGCCTTTTGAATGTCAATCTTTAAAGTACATTTAGGATTTCCTCTTTTATTTTTATAACCTACCATCAGATCCTGAGCAAGAAGAATATTATCTAAAATAGATCTCCCTGGAATAAAAGCTGATTGATTTTTGCTCACAATATCTCCCAGATTATTTCTAATTCTATTCACTATAATCTTACTAATACACTTGTACAAAGTGTTACAGCAAGCTATAGGACGGAAATCAGAAACTTTCCTCGGGAACTCCACTTTAGGGACCAGCACAATTCTCGTAGCATTAAGCCCTTTCAACAATTTACCAGTCCAAAAAAATTCCCTCACAGCTTTACACATTTCCGGCCCAACAATATTCCAAGCACTTTTAAAAAATTTGGAGGAAAACCCATCCGGACCAGGGGCACGATTGTCATCAATATCAAACATCGCAACTTTAATTTCTTCATCAGTAACCACTCTAATCATATTCAAAGCCACCCTACTGTCCAATTTATTATGAAAGAAACCATCATTTAAACACGAGAACTCAGTTATATCTTCACATCCCAAAAACTTCTTGAAATGATTCACAAATTTCTCCTTCATAGCCTTCCCACTAACCCATCTTCCATCTTCATCAAGCACCATCAATATACGATTTTTATTACCCCTGCTCTTCACAACTCTATGAAAAAACTTAGTATTATTGTCCCCTTCCAATAACCAATTCATCTTAGATCTCTAGGAGAGAAGCATTTCTTCATCATTACACGCAACATTGAACTCAAAAAGAGTATTAGCATGCTCCTCCCTAATCTTACTATCAAAAGGATTAAGATCAATATCAGCTTGTTTACTTTCCAATTCCTTTCTTAACTCTTGAATTCTCTTGCCAGAACCCCTGTATTTACTACATAGCTCCCGACAATACTTTTTAAGAATCTTCAACTTCTGAAAAACTTTGAACATAAAAAAACCTTCAATATTAGTGCCCCAAATCTCTTTAACCGAAGGTAAAACCTCCTTCTTCTCTGTAATAAAATTGGCAAACCTAAAAGAAGGTTTCCATCTCAATTTGCCAGCAGGAACATTTAAAACAGCAGGACAATGGTCCGACGCCCTATAAGGTTTAGAAACAGCATGAGCTAAAGGATGATCAGAAACAAATTTCAAATTAACCATCACCCTATCTAACTTCTTCAAAAGACCCTTATTCCCAGCAGGAGATTTGTTCCAAGTAAACTGAAAACCAGTGCAATTCAGATCCTCAACTTCAATAGAATTTATACAGTCAATAAATTCATCAACTCCTTTCGGCATTTTAGAACAACCTTCAGAATATTCTGAAGGCTTTAAAGCAACATTAAAGTCACCTAAAATTCCCCAAGCTTCCTTCTTAACAACCAAACTATGTTTCTTCAGATTATCCCACAATAACCTTCTCTCTACATAAGTCGAAGCAGCATATATAAAAGACCAATACATGCTATAGTTAGAATCACAGAACCTAACATAACAATGTATTACTTGTCTAGACTGAGAAATCACCATCACATCGAATAATCTAGGATTCCATCCAACAATTATTCTAGTTCCAGCCTCACAGTTGCTATTATTAGAAACCCAATCCCATTGACCAAAGGTCTTAACACACACATTCTTAAGATTTAAGACCTTAACATGAGATTCCACCACAGCACATATACCAAGGTTATTACTCCTAATAACATCAATAACCTCCTTTTGCTTAATGGCTTTATTCAAGCCCCTGACATTCCAAACCTCTATAGACATCATTGGGAATTAATAGAGTTTTTGGCATTTACCACCTCAAATGCCTGAGAAGCCCCACCTTTGCTATTACTGTTCCCCTGAACACTCTTACTATTCTTCATTTTATTGCTTTCATTCACTATTTCACCCTTCCCAAAAATCTTAGAAGGATCCATCTTATTATTCGTTTCTCCAACAGCATCAGAAGAAAAAGCAATACAATCTCCTTCCTGTTAGACAACAACCTTGTCCCCCTTAGCAACCTCTTCCATTCCATCCATAACTTCCTCACCAATCATTCCCAGGATTTCAAAACTATTTTTATTACTGCAACCATCACTAGTAACAACCTTATTTTCTAAATTCTTGCTAACACCCACCTTTATGATATCATCCTCTTTAGTATCCCCCTGCACCTTATTCCCCTTATTCCCCTGATTACTAGTCAAAGTCTAACCTGTAGCATACTTCTCATATCTTTGATTCTTTTCCAAATTCCAGTTACTCACCCCTCTATTGTTCCAGTTCCCATTCTGCCCCCTACCATTACCACCTCTATTCCCATTATTACCCCTGAAACTATTTCCCCTGTTAAAATTGCCATTCTTTCCACTATTTCTCTGATTATACAAATTAGCAGGACCCTCCATAGTTTTACTAGTACCTTCACCATCTTTATTTCCTTTAACCTTCTTATTAACAACCTCAGTAAAACCTTCATCATTAACCACTTCCTTCCCTTTATTTCCCTTATTGGTCCCATTATCCCCATTCTTTAAAACTTTATCTTCATTCAAAACTGCCATACAAACTTTATCCATATGACCATAGACCTTACAGTGATTACATCTAGAAGGAATCCACGCATACTCCACATCAAAACTCTGAGTCACAGCAGAATTAGAAACAAAATCCCAAGTAGATACCTCAATTTTCCTCTTCCACTCCTTATCAGCCGCCATTTCAACAAGAATTTGAGCATAAGCATTCCTAACCTTGTGTTCCAAACACATCTCCTCGGTAAAAGAATCAAAAGCCAGAGGAACCCCCAACTTACTCGCAATAATACACAGATTGTCCCCACTCCAAACTTCCAAAGGTAAATCATAAATTTTGATCCACACCGGAATTTTATCATGACTGTTCTTGGTTAAAGTTAGCCCCGGTCTCCACCGTTGAAGAAATAAAGGCATATTATTGAACATTAGCCATGGACTTCCCTCCAATATACATAACATCCCCTGCTCATCACTAAATTTGAAAAAGAAAAATCCTTTACTGTTCATGAAGATCTCCTCAAGTCCCACATTCCTCCACAGCCTTCTAACCTCTTTTTGAATTACAGGAAACGCCAACTTCTTATCAATCATGTACCCATATAAAGTATTAGTATATGGAATACTCGCCTTCTTTAAATTCTCAATCAGAATAATAACTGGACCTTCTTCCTTACCATTTTCCCCTGGTATAAACTTAACATCAATCTTACCCTTATGCCTATTACCTTTTAACACACCAGCATAAGAGTTCAACAAGTTCCCCTGACCATCACCATCCACCTTCTTACAAATATTTGCATCACCCAATATAGAGGGAAGCAAATTAATACTGTTAATAACAGTACCAGACTTCAGCTTTGAATTAGGCTCATTATTCACCACAGTATTACCCTTCTCTTCCATCACAATTTCCTCATCCTCACTAGACTCATCCTCACTAGATTCATCATCACTAGACTCATCAGAAGAATCATCTGTATCATTACCATCTTCATTCCCTTTAACTTGCTTATTCAAAATTGATATATCAACATCCATTTCATGATTCAAACTACTGTCCATCTCCTTTTTCTTAGGAGTATCCTCCTTCATCTTATTAAGGAATTGAAACCCAACACCCGGAATAAACTCTTCATTATTCATAATGTTCTTATCATCAACCTTAATACCACTTTTATCAATCTCATCAACCCTAGATTTCTTAACTTCACAATCAACTAAATTAGGGCATACAGGTTTTGAGACATCATTCACAGAAATGTTAGGATTCGCCCTAATCATTTGACTAGTAACCATTTTCAATTCCAAACTAGGACTCAATAATTCATCATTTACCTTAGAACCATCCCAATTTTTCAACAAATTAGGAGTGTTACCTGAAGGAATAGAAACAACTTGAACTCCTACAGCCTTCACCTCACCAGGACCACCATCCTTCAACCCCTTCAGAGTGTTATCATTTCCAGGAATCGAAACACTAGCATCCGACTCCCAAGCCGACACAGACTCCGAATCATCTTCCGTTTCCTCCTCTGTAACTTCTTCAGTGTAACATTCCACTGCATCCATCGGAGACATCACATCCACAATTTTTCGAGCCCGATTCTTCACTCTAAAATCTTTCCCCTCCATTTTCCATTCAGCCTTTCCAATCCCCGAAGCAACAGCTCCAGAAGCACTTGGCTTACGACGAGTTTTGTAGATCGTAGCTGATGACTGATCAATGACCCCAGGAGGAACCAGATCCTTCACATCCACTTCAGTCCTAACATATCGGGCAGCAGCACTTTTGTTCAATACATCACTAAAATCTTATAAACTCACCAGCTTAAATGTTGATCTACTCTTTCAAACTAAGTTGTATTCTTAGAAAACCAGTAGACAGGTACGCACACTGGGATTCAGAAGATGGAGCATAATAGCTTCATGTCTTGTTTTGTTATTTACTTTTGTAGTCTATCTTATGTGAACCACATGCTTTGTAAACACTTTCTTTCTAATGAAATGGTTGTTTGTTACTTTGATTACTATGATGCATGTCTTGTGATACTAAACATGATGTCCTCCGCCCCCGAACATTTTCGCCGTTCCGGTTTGGGGGTGTGACACTAATCCAAATGTTCCGATGCCATGCAACCCAAATGGACCATGTCGGGTCGGGTCAAGTATATAATAATTATAGTTATGGACTTAGACATTAATCCAACAATAGCATATAATCCTCCCAGGCTATATGGAATCACATAAATCAGGTAATTCTATCATGTGATTCCTGAAGGTATCCTTAGCCCTAATCTAGCATGAAATTCACATATCAAACATACTGATCATAATACAAAGGTATGGGTAATTTGGGAACCACTTACTCGAGCTCGGCTGATTGCACGCATCACACCCCTTTTACTTAGTAAAAATCTTGTTATAAATTCAATTTCTTTTTCTTTTGAAAATATTTGACTTCTGCCACACCCAAAGTGTGCCCGAATCCCTCAAACCAAGGCTCTGATACCAACTTGTAACAACCCAAAAACCGTGATAAAATTGGTCATTTAAAAATCAATAGCTTCAATCACCAAATAGGTCCAAGTCAATAATAGTGTACAATATCCAAAACATTAGAGTAATAGTATCCAAAAGTGTAGAAATCATGAGGGGATGATGATGTGTCATCACGCCGGGCTCTTCCCTTTTGTACCGCAAGTACCTGAAATCATAAACATAAATTGTAAGCATAAAGCTTAGTGAGTTCCCCCAAAATATAACATACCAAACATATAAACTGGGCCTAGCCCTGGGGTATATTCCAGCCCAATAAACAAATATGGGCCCAGACCTAGTGTATATTCCAACCCAATAAACAAATATGGTCCAGCCTTGGGGCCCTGCCTTGGGGTTTATTTCAACCCTATCATACGACAATGAGCCCCGCCCTAGGGTTTATTTCAAACCGATCATACCATAATGGGCCCCGCCCTGGGGTTTATTTCAACACAGTCATACAATAGTGGGCTCTGCCCAGGGGTTTATTTCAACTCAATCATACAAGCATACATGTAACAGCCACATAACAGCTAGCATTCTACACAACATAATAATGGGTCGGCATTGGTGCCTTCGACCAATAGATACAGTGAGGAGACTCACCTCATAGTCTAAACTTATAGCTGGATAGGATACTACTCCGAATATCATTTCTACATGTCACGGATACATAAAATAGTAACCAATCTCAACTACAACCCAAAATACATTTAGCTCAAACTTGGTCAAAGTCAAAAGTTAACCGAGTCAACTAAGCTGAGTACGCCCAACATACTTAGCTTGTACACACAACGTACTAGCGTATTGACCAAAAATAGGCATGTAAGGTCACACCTTATGATCTGATGAGTCAAACACATGACACGCTGATCTATCAGCATCAACGTCTACAATTCATCAGTGCCAACGTCTCAAGTTCAATAGTGTCATCTTATAGTTCAGTTGTCATTGTAATCTTTTGTATATTAGGTAGTTATTATAGATAAATATAGAATATATCAGATCTTGTATCCTTGTGCTAAGATCGGTTCTTAGTATAGATTAGATACAATCTCATCAATCAAGGGATATACATGTATAGATTAGTATATATACAACAGTGGGGTAAACCCTAATATTGTGCTTGTGTTCGTGGCTTTGTGTCAATTGTCTTTGTGACAAACCCGTCTTCTTGGTGAAGATAAAACCTCTTTTCTTGGTGAAAGGAACATTTGGAGATCTTCTGTGTTATTTACTTTCTGTCAATTATTTTTCTTATATTAGTTTTTCTTTTCTGTTTCATTCATACTTGAAGTGTATCCGATCAAATACAAACCTTCAATTGGTATCAAAGCGGGTTTGTGATACAGTCAAGTAATCATGTCATCCTCCTTAGTTCCTAAGTCATCTCTTTGTAACAATGTTCCTTCGTCTGATCAATACAACTTCTTTGATTGGAAATCAAAGGCCATGAATGTTCTAGAGTTCATGGATTTTGATATGCTCGACGTCGTCAACAAAGGTCGTATAGCCGCTTTAAATCAATCATCAAACAATTGTCAATCTGGAAGTAAGCGGAAAGGGAATTATGTTCCCTGTTATAGCAAGGAAGAGAAAAGGATGTGGAATCTAGATGTAAAAGTTAGAATTGTTATTGGAAACTCACTTCCTTCTCTGTTTATAGTTTGGTCCAAAACTGCTCAACTGCTCAAGAGATGATGATCACTCTATCATCTTCTTTTGAAAAATAAATCTCTTCAGACGATGAAGTTAAGTGTCTTATGGCTCAAACTTTTGAATCTCACGCTAACACCTCACATGACAGCATTGGGATTCGTGACGCTGATTCTTCTAGCGCTGATAACCTCAAGTCAAAAAAGGACGATGCATCAGCGTATCAGGTAAAAAATCATGTTAATTCTTCCTCTATCAATAATCTTTAAAAAAAATGACATGATCGATCTCTTAAGTTTCAATTTATTGATCTCAAATAAAGAAAAATCTTCTCTAAGTCTTGAGCTAAATATTCTCAAAAAAAACTTCTTTCTCAAGAAAAAACTTTTTCTACTTTAAAAAGGGAAAACACTTGTATATCGCTTACCAATAATTTTCTTCACACTGAAAAAGAAAAGGTTGTTGATCATGCTAATCACACTCAACTTATCTTGAAATTTTGGGCATCCTTTCACTTTAATGTCACTAGAATCATTAATGCTCAGATTCCAAATAAGTGTAAGAAAATCCTTGGAGGTGATATAGAAGGTGTTGTATCTTTTACCAAAGTCAAAACTAAAGAAACCTTTTATAAAGCTGATAGCTAAGAAGAAGACTTTAAAAGTAGATTTGTAAGCTCTCACTTTATAAAGCAAACCCTACTCAATACTCATTGCTCTACTGATTCTAATGGAATTACTAAGTGTGTTACTAAATTGTCTGCTTATGATCCTTCTCTACAACCTTCACATCGTGAGTACGTTCTTCCCTCCACTAAGACATTGATAAAATTTCCTATATGTAATGGTGAAGTTCATTCTGTAAACGAAATTCTTAGCATGTTTCCTCAGTGCTCAGTTAGCAATTATGAACCTGAAGATAAGTCAAAGCCTTCTACCCCTGACAACTCTTTGAAGAATCATGAGTCTCATGACAAGGTAGTATATAGGCATGCCACTGATACAACACATTGTTCCAAAGCCAAATCAAGAACTCTTAAATCAAATGATCAAAGTTCTTCAGATTCAGCAGATGAAAAAAAAATCAAAATCTAATTTTAAAAGAAAAGTCTTGGAATTAAAGTTTGTTTTTGATGTGGTGATGCCTCTCACAAAGTCATCGAGTGCTCTTTTGAAAAGAACACCATTCGCGTTGAAAATATCATGACTCGAAATGATAAGTGGATAAAAAAGGGAAACTCGTTGAATTGTCTCCCTGATGATTGTTATAACATCTTTTGTTGTCCACTACGACTATCCCCCAATTTATGCAAGTCACTTCTCGGACAGATATAGTTGATCAGGCTATATCCATCCCAGACTTGACCACATATCCCAAGGCATACTCGAAACGTACAACTCCTCCTCTTTTACTTTATGTTTTTCCTAGCTATGACACTATGCGAGCATGTATGCATGTACTTATACTTTTAACAAGAAACCGTTTACTTTCTAAAAGTATAGCCATTTGAAAATGTTCAATCAGAGACTTTCAGTCCCAAATATGTTTATAGTTTGTATATCTTATGTGGTTCGATATACTTAGTTCACTATAAACATTGCTCTGATACCAATCTGTCACACCCCCAAACCAAGGATGGCGGAAACGTCCGGGGGTGGAGGACTTCATGTATAGTATCATAACAACAATTTGCAATAGTGATCAAAGTAAACACAACCAACATAAATATAATTGAAAAAGTTACATCATTGTATGAGTTTACATGTTTCCAAATCAATTACATTATGTTGACAAAAATGAAATGTTTGACGCCTTAACGTCCCATCCTCAAAAGCACTCGGTTACCTGTTTATTGATCTCCTGAGAATACAAGTAGTTTTGAAAGAGTGTCAACAATTAAGTTGGTGAGTTCATAAGCTTTTGAAGGTGATGCTAAAATCCTTTTCTTGTAAAAATAATGTTTGTTCAAGAAGATCCCATATATTCTTAAGTAATGCATTGTAGTCTTAAAAGTCAAGACCGAAGTGTACAAGTATTTTACCATACTTAAAGAAATTGATGCAAGTTTAATTCGACATAAACTCGTTTAATTTAGAAGTAAAACCCGTAAATCTTATGTTTTGTTAATACCACATGTGAGTTATTATAACCATACTATGACTCAGACGGCCTCGTAATACGACGTTCTTCAGGCGTCGCAAGTTAAATGACACTTGTCACCACAGACCTGCCGGTCTAGCTGTTGCATGCAGCTCAGGTATGGGTTTGTCAGACCCAATATAGATCTATACACAACTATCACGTTCTCCCTACAAGAGACTCTAGTTACAATTTACAGGACTTTTGATTTTGTTACATGGATGTAACACGAAGCGAATGTCTCACAAATTTATTCATTAACAGATTTACATGAACTGAAAACCTTTAGTAAAGAGTTTGAAATGTAATGAAACATAAACTATACCTATTATAGTTTATTATAATCGTTTGTAATGTAAAGCAATATAAACTATTCTTCCGTAGTTTATCAAATGTTTGTATGAAATGGATGTAAACTTTGTTTATAACCTTAAACTAATTACCATACTTGTGAAGGTAAAATCCATTTGTTTTCTGGTGTATGTCATTACACTAAGACGAAATGACATATAATGTAAAAACATATATTCACATAATGATACACACCTTGCTCAACAAGTTACAAGGTGCAAATGAAATTGATAGCATTTTTTTCTAGTATTAACATTTCTATTCTGTTGTTAGAAATTTTATAGAAAAATCATCAAAGATCCAAATCAGAATCTGTAAATTCTGAGAGTTTGGAAAATGAGTCTAGTTTGTTCATAAATTTTATTATGATTTTTAGTGACCTCCAACTTGTGTAAAAAGGTCCTTAATCACAGACTGGTCCGGATTTGTTCTTAAAATGATAGACAGTTTTGTAAAAATCACCATAAATTGTAGAAAAATCGTATGGAGATGTGCAAGTAGTCATTTTAAATGTATGAACCTGAACTATTTGCACCTAATACAGTTTTGAAAACTAAAATGTTTAAGTTGACCAAAACAGTCCGTGAATGGAGTTAAACTTTTTTGATGAAGGCTGTTAAATGAGTTTAGTTATGTCTTAGTGTTTTAACCTATACCCCCCCCCCCTTAAAACTTAAGAAAAACATGAAAAGATAGGGGTATGAACTCACCTTGTGTGTTCTTAGTGGATGGATGTTGAAGTAAAGAAGTGTTCTGCTCAAGAACACTAAGAAGATGCCTTGAAGGTTCAAAGATCTAACATGAATGTGATGATATTTATGTAAGATATCCATGATTTGAGTAGAAAGAAGTGAAATAATCTTGTGGAGGATGATAATACTTACCAATAGTAGAAGAAAAGCTTGGAGAATGGCCTTGGATCTCGAAATTTAGAGAGAGAATTGAGAGAGAATGGTGTTTGTCTTTTGGAGGAAAAATGAGAGAAATGAGAGAATGGTGAGGAGAGATAAGAGTTTTCAGCCTTTGACCAAGAGTGTGGCTGGTCAAATGGTGGGGGAAGTACTCTTGAATGACCTGGTATGGTGGAAGGACAATGGCTGGTCCCTGGAGTGGGTATGGGGTGGTTGCTTGTGTCATACACTAAAGCAAAGTCAACACTCCACCTCAAATATTCACCCACTAGATTTTATTCTTAAATAAAGATTTCCATAAAAATATGTTTAAATTATGAATGTTTAGGGTTTTATATGTTAAAATATGATTTTTAGAGAAAATCCCGCGTTAAAATCACGAAAAACGGGCTTAATACGTGAAAATGGTCAAAAACCGGGAAAAATAGGCGAAAATCCGAAGTCTGGGCCGGAGAAGGAACAGAAGGCGAGGCTCGGTCTCGCCTGCGCAGGCTCGCTCCTCGGACAGAAGCTCAAGTTCTCGGACCGAAAGTCAGCTCCTCGGACCGAAGGTG